ATTAACCAATCAGCCCACGCTAAGAGCTCCATTCGCCTGTGTGGTATATTATAAAAAAAAAACCGCTCTAAGGTGGGTAGATGGAGTAGAGTTATGAAGCACGAAGAGAAAATCTAAGAAGACGAAAGAAGTCTAAGTCCAGCGATTACTCAGGGAAATTCTTGTCTCTACCTTCTGAAATTGTAGCTCTAAGATTCTTGAGAATCCGTCCTCTAACCAGGTAGCCGTTTACACTCCCAACCCAAGGAGAAAAACGGAACCTCGACCCACCCTTCCCCCTTCCCATGTTTTTTTTTTAAAAATGATTATAATATATGCTATCGTCAGTAAAGATGTTCTGCTGAAACATTTACGTTGTCGCAGTTTTTTAGATCTGCGGAGGAAGTCAATATATCAGGGCTTACTGACTTTTTGGATCCGGTACAAGGTCTTTAAAGGGGGAAGGAAATTTATCCTTGCTCGCCCTTACTTCGGTGAATATCTCGCGTTGGCGATTGAACATAACAGGAATGCGTAGCGACAACGCTCTCCCCAGGCCCGTCTCTCTCAGGTTGATCCTTACTTCCAGGATTTTTCCACGGCTTGTTTTTCCCGGTTTTCCTTACTCCTTAAAAACCAGCGCTCTTAATTCGAGTTGCAAATGCCACCTACTAAAACCGTTTTTATTTTACATCTGCATGTCATCCAGTCGAGGGTCTCCATGGGGTTAACCGTTAGCCGTAAACCGGTCGAAAAGCTAGCTGTTAGGCGTAAAAAAAATTAACTTTAAAAATCTTTCCCTCCTACAGTGTTATTTAGTGTTATTCTGGGTTAGCCGCAGCAGAAAAATGGCCATAGTTTTAACCGTTAGCCGTAAAAAGTTCTTATCGGTCGGCCCTCAGTTTTTAAGAAAGTTTCGGTTTTTTTAACAGACTGTTTTAGTTAAGTTTGCAATCGTGGAAAAAAAATCATAAATATTTCCTACACACGGGGAACCACACCGACCTAGGGTACCTCCCATGATGAGGACGCTTTCTATAAACAGAATAAAGCACCATCTCCCAAAGTGAAAGGTAATTTCTTTTTTCTTGCCTTTTCAACAATCAGTATACGACTGAACATCATGTCGCTTTACATGCTAAAAAAACGCGTCGCGTGACATCCTAAGGAACGGCTGCCAATGAAACTGGCAGATATAAAATCTGAAAATATCGAAGTTTATATCTCATTTAATAACTCTATCCAAGAAAATGGGCAAAAGTTGAGCGAATAAGGCATAGGTGCGCTCACTACTCCAAAAGAAAAGATGTGACAAAACATCATATCTGTCACATAACGTACTAAAGAAGTGCGTCGCGTGACATCCTGAGAAACCTATTCAAAGAAATGGGCAAAAGCTATTAAGCAAATACTAATTCAAACGGCAAGAAATGGCTTATGCAGGTTCATGCAGAAATTTTCTTCCCTCTGTTACTGATTTCCTCGTCCATTCTAACAAAATACCAAGCGACTTGTTTCATTGTTTGACATTTAAATGTTAGTTTATTGTACTTAGATAGTAAGTAAACAATCTAATCGGAGAAACTAGATAAAATCATTTAGCTCCAACTTTCTAGCTCGTTCTGAGCTTCCACCGATTCTTTGTAAGCCATAAC